TGTGTGTGTGTGTGGTGTGTGTGTGTGTGTGTGTGTGTGTGTGTGTGTGTGTGTGTGTGTGTGTGTGTGTGTGTGTTGTGTGTGTGTGTGTGTGTGTAATGGTGTGTGTGTGTGTGTGTGTGGGTGTGTGTGTGTGTGTGTGTCGTGTGTGTGTGTGTGTGGTGTGTGTGTGTGTGGTGTGTGTGTGGTGTGTGGTGTGTGTGTGTGTGTGTGTTGTGTGTGTGTGTGTGTGTGTGTGTGTGTGTGTGTGTGTGTGTGTGTGTGTGTGTGTGTGTGTGTGTGTGTGTGTGTGTGTGTGTGTGTGTGTGTGTGTGGAGACATCCATCAATCTGGTTGTTGAGAAAAACTTTAAACTCAAACAATCTTCATATTGGCAACAACCAGAAAAACAAACACCAGGCTGGATAGAAAAGACGGGTCCAATGCTCTCCGAGTCAAATTCTTAAGCCAAGTCAGGTTTTAACATTCTTTCTCTCTTAGACGCTTTGTGAGGCATAAATCCTGAGTCTGTACAAACCAGTTGTGTAATGAAAGAATAACACGGCAGACTTCGTCTTAATGTGAGTCCGCTGACATGCGGCGAGAATGCCCCATTTGTTGACCTGAGATTAGTGCTCGCGGGAGCAGTTGTTTGTAATATCTGTAGGATGTTGATATTGATTACTACTGTGTGCTTAAGTGCACGCAGAGCATTTTTCCCACTCCACCCGAGCTAGAATAATGAGAACAGAGCACTGGAGAATCGGGAGTGGTGGCACACTGCATATATAATACTGTGATTGGAAGTATTGTCATGGCTGTTAATAGTCTAACAGTATTAAATATTGTCCTGTCACATCCTATTTATCCTGAATAAGCTCAAACCAAGATTATGAGCATAGTGACAGCCATAACAGCTATACGTTGATTTAAGGTGCAATACTGAGTTATGTAAACACCTTAAAAGGATAGTTTGGATGTTTTGAAATGGAGCTGTTAGGTACTTACCCATAGCCAAAATGTATTGCCTACAGTTGATGACGGTCAACACAACAACTCCGGAATGAGAAGAAGGCATTACAGCAAAGCAAGGTACTGCTGTGGACGTGTTAAACATATTTTAGCAACCTAAGAGAAAGGCCCACCTTGATGTATCAGTTTAGGTGTGTGCTATATTTAGAATATACCCATCCCTTTGCCTTGCCAAGAGACTGCCTTTCAAACTAAAATGTTCTTACAAAGCCACCTGAATCCATTGGAAAAAAACAACGTTGGTGAGTTTGTTTGTCTTATTGTGTTGCTTTGGTTGGTTCGTATTTACCAAAGTCACGCATCCCCTCACATGTTTTTAATGGAGTCTGGCTTTGGCGAGGACCGAGATAATGGTTTATTTCCCAATCAGACTGTGAGCTCTCTCAAGACAAAGCGATACAAATAATCTTGGCGTGGAATTAAACTGAATGAGCTTTTTTTGTATGGGTCAGCCTTTCTTTCAGGTGGCCATCATACATTTTGAGCAAGCACTACATGTATTGTTTTCTCTCATGCAATAACTCCCTATCTACTGTTGGTAACATACTGACTATGGAAGTACCTCATACAACCCTATTTCAAAACATGCAAACTAACGCTTCAACTAATATTTCTGTTGTTTGTGAGGTCTGAATCACAAACGGCACACACTGTTAGACTGCAGCACTGATTGAAATCCCAAATAACATTCTTTGACAGTGCAGGTAACTGGGTTATTGGAGGCTGTGTTTATGTAAACATATGATTATATCTCCAGTAGCTGCTCGCTCCGTTTTCTCTGCTCTGATGTAAGACCATCTGTTAGGTGCTTTACTGCTGAGCCCTTCCCTTTTCAAAGAACACCCATGCAATTACTCCCTTTCCTTTTTAACTGTTGTGGTTGGAGCAATCCATAGGCCGCTTTTCCTCCACCCTGTGTGAGTGTATCGTCGATCAGTGTGTTATCAAATAGTAGTTTCCAAGGCCTCGTTCCAGCCCCTTCCTCCTCAGATTGTCAGTCAACCCCATTTAGTGATCAAGCCTTTCTCTCCTTCATCCTTCCATTCATCCGCTCTTTGTTATGTCGTTTCCCCCGACACACCCTTCCTGTCTCTGGAAAGCTGGTTATGGCTAATGTTATTAAGTAACAGCCTTCATCCTGACGGCTATTAATCATTGCTATTGGACCTGTTGGTTCAGTATGCCTTACTGTGACCCATGTTATCCATGTGTGTGGTTGATAGCTGAGCATACACCTGTGAGAGTCCATTCAGCAGAGCTTTAAAGGTATTGTGGTTATTCTTTGGCAAAGAAACCTTTCTGAACTGGCACTGTCTGTAGATTAATGCATACTAAACCAACAGAGAACGTAAAAAGAGTTCTATTGAGGTTCAGTACTGAGACTGTTACAAACCACTCTTTTACTGAATAATACATGGTATTGAGAAAGAGCTTGTGTAGTGGCGCCTCTTTTCAACAAGTTCCAGCAAAGTCAGTGTTTGTCCTCTATGCTGATCAGGTGAGGGTGTGTTTTAGGTTGAGTAACATACACACACATACACACACACACACACACACACACACACACACACACACACACACACACACACACACACACACACACACACACACACACTCTAGATGGGTTTTAAGATTGTTTGGCATTTTGACAGCAGTAATAGCAGTTTACGACAACCGCTAGATGACAGAGGGATGACATAATGCTGAGGTTTCCAGCTGGATCTAAGTTCAAAGCCCTCCCCCCCCCTTCATACCTCTGCACACTTTGTCTATTTCTGCATTAAATAAGCATTCTGGTTCTGAAAAATGCTGAAACTGTCCACAGCACTCTGTCAGAAAGGAGTTTTCAAACCATGTTAGAGGGCCAGTAAGCTTTAAGAGAAACACATTGAAATGTCTTTTCATTTGACTGGGACAAGTTCAATACAGAGCTTGAAACTGATTTGCTGCACAGATAGTTTGTAGTTAGCGAATGTTTAACTCTTTGACATGATTCAGTGTGATACAAAAAAAATACAGCTTTCAATAACATAAACCACAATACACTATAAACGTGGATATACATAAAAGGCACATCACATAATGCAACACCACAAAACAGCATTGCACATTCTAATAAGTGACTGCCCCACACTTTTATACATTGGAACTGAGGTGGCTGCTTCCGTCGACTAAGACAAAGTAATCAACTTTACTCGGTAAGGATGTGACCTCTAGATCAGAATGAACACATTAAGATTTCCTACTGGGCCACGATCTATTGAACACACCATTATTGTAAAAGCTTCATGAAATGCTGCTGTTGTTGGATCAGCATCAACACAATGCCTGTGTTATTGATCCATAGCTTCTGTTGATTCGTAAGTGAATTAATAACTCGCTAATGTTTCTATAATCGTTTGTATACATCTTTATTTGTAGCCTCATCTATGAGAGGACCTACTAATCTAGCTGAATTAGCATTTAATCAACCCGAAGATCACTAGATAAGTGAAGTACGTTGCTAGTGTTTCTGTATGTTCCACCTCCAGTCTGATTTGGAGGAGAGGTTTCTTCGTTGTCAGTGGCAGCAGCACTGTGAAGTGTGTGTATTTTAGGGTGAGTGGTGTGACCCCGTGGTGTCAACATGAAAAGTGTGAGTGCTACAAATCCTTGAGAAGAGGATGAACTTGAGAAGAAGTGTTTTTTTCCGACACAGGGAGCCATTCTCACTGTTCTCTGTTTTCTTTGTTCCTGTCCGGAAAGGCTTAGCTGATAAAGGACATCCTGAACTGCTGTTTTTTTTTCCTTCTCTTTAGCAATCTTATGGTCTCACAATCCAAATGTATCACTCTTCAATGTCTCTGCTGTGCTCTTTTTGAAGTACTCTTGTATCTCTGCTCTCACATTCACAAAGAAAACAAGGAAGGCATTCATGAAGCTCTAAGAATGAGAACTGTGATCTACTCCTCACATAAACATGAAGTGAACCCTCCTCACCGTTTACAGACCGGTCAACATCAGAGCCAGGTGTATCACGTTTCTCCCTCCACTCCTTGGCAACATCTGAGGACAGAAGGATTTTCTATTGTCTTTTCCCTATATAGGCCAGGCTTGTCAGTTCATGCCGTGTTTCTATTGAGACAGTATGTCCTCTGTACCAGCCTCATTAAAAGCGGCATGGTTCAGTACACAGCAAACACACACCGAGTCAATCACCCCCCCCACCCGTCTCCGTTAGTGTCCCCGCTCTGGTCTCCATTAACTCATCCCTTGACCTTTCATTACTGTTCAACTGCTGGCTCTATTGACCACATACTATATGGCTTGACTTAGCAATGATAATGTAAATCAACTTTTTGCAAATATTTACGAAACTTATCATCAAATATCCTGAAGTTGTATGAAGTTTTTATTTCTTTTGTACAAAAATGTCTCCATAAGCGCCTTAACTTTTGCAAGTGAATTCTAGTTGTACATGGCAGCTAAGGCAGCTGCTTATATAGGCAATGGCATGAATTGATGAAAGGTGAACCAGCTTTCCCTCTGCCGCAAGCGAATAATCCAAAAACTATTAAAATAGCCTAGTGTGCAAGTTCATCTTTTGGTAACAACAAAATGTTTTATCATTTCGTTCAGATCAAATTCTAAACCACTGCTTGGAGGGAGAAATGTGCACATAATGCAATAGATGTATAATACAAATATAGTACGGCAGTATTAACAGTATGCGTAGATGTGTATTTGTTTAGCTACAATTTATTTTATTATAGTTTTTGTTTTTTTAATAACCAATCACAGCATTTTAAAAGATGGCATCACACTTATCAACAGGGTGAACCACACCTCATCCCTTAAGAAAAACCTTTGGTCCATCGTTGTATCGAGTATTTTCTGAATGTCAAGTGAGAGCAGCTGCTGGCGTCTCTCAAGCTGATCTGTTATATAACTTAGACCCAGTTTGATTCCTCCTCAATAATGAATAATTGTTCTCCTCTTCTCTCTCCCAGGTGCAGCAGAAGCAGAGTGTCAGTGGTGAGGAGGAGGACTCGGGAACACCGGTCCGAGACACTGACAGTCAGTATGGCACCTGGGAGACAGGACTGCGCACTGATGACAGGTGAACACACTGTTTTCATTTCGTCTGGTGCTTCATTTGTTTTTATTTGTTTTCAGTGTGTTTTTAAGTACACAACACAAGTCAATATTCCCAAACCACCCAAAATCGGCAATTGCGAAAAATGAAAACACAGCCATGGTGTTCGGGGGAAATATCCTCATGTTTATTTATTCCGATTGTTGTATCCAGATTAGTGCCCTTTAAAAATGTGACTAAACTTAGTCGATATACACTAAAGTCTAGGTCTCAAACTAAATACAAATTCACAAGTTTTTCATTTTTACGTCAATGTTTTGCTATGCAAGCTTAAAGAAAACAAAGAATGAAAATACCTCCTTCTGAAAGTTAACCTGAAGGCAGTAAAATGTATACGCCATCTTCTGTCATTGTTTATGCTCCGGTTTAAGTGTTGAACAAACTACCACAGTCTTTGTTTATCTTTCTAGCTATGGAGGAATGGCAGATAATGATTTCTCTGTTACTTCACTGACCCCCTGTGGTCAGAAAATATCATCACATCGTTAACCAACAACAAGAAGAACAGAGATTATATCAAATTTCTAAAAATAAAATAAGATGTAGTGTGTTTTATATATAATATAAATATATTTATGTCCATCCTTCTTGTTTCACCTTTCCCCCTGTTTTTAGGTGCGTCAGCTACATCTTTGTTTGCCAACAAAAGGAATAAATGACTCGGTCTCTATTTGATTGTACAAGGGATTGTACCTGCGGTTAAAGCAACCACACATTTGTTTTATAACTTTTCTCTTCTTAACTTCAGCCTCAGTCCTGCCACTCCCAGTTCAGAAAGTAATCTGAGCCCCTCACCAAGGAAGCCCACCCCCCCGCACATGCTAGCTGATCCCGGCTCACGGTTTGATAGCGACGCTCCGGACGGCGTTCCTCAATCAACATCTGAGAGCCAGCCGCTCCCTTTCCCTGATGTAAGTGTTAACCCCAGCTAATGTCTGCTGCTGTTTTAACCCCTTGCGCTTCACTAGAGACATGTTTGGCTTTTTCTCTTTGAGCTTTGGGCTGTGATAATGCATACTGTACGGCACACATTTTTGCATTTTCTTTTCCAATTTTTAGAAGTTCAACCTAATCTCCTATGTATTTCTCTCTGTTTGGACGTCCAGGTCTCGACCGCTCTGTTAGACACCAGCGCCCTGCGCTCCAGAGCTCACCTGGTGAAGAAGCGCGCCCCTAGGTCCCGCCCCTCCAAAGCCGCCCATCAGACAGTAGCGCTGTCCCCGGCCGATGGAGGAGCCACGGACGACTGGCTCTACAGAGACTCCACAGGTGAGCACTAACACAAGAAGATCAAGGGACCACGCTTTATATTCAGGATTCCTATTCTCAACTAAACCTTTACCTGACAAACAAACAAAAGAGCATTTCAAATTGTTGCCAGGAAACAAGTTTAATGTGCAATATATATATATATATATATATAGCTAAAAACACAAAGAAAGAAGTAAAAAAGCAGCTCATGTTTGTCTCTCAAATGTGAGTGCAGCCAATTAAAAAGATGCAGTTGCAAATGTGCCGTTTTAGTATTCTGTGTGATATAAAAATATATATTTTCCCCATGACAGAGGCGAAGGTTGAGAGCAAGGACGCTGACTCTGACTCTGAGGAGCGGGCCAGAGGAGCCGAGGCCGGCCCTGCCGTCTCCTCTCAGCCGCAGAGGATCCCCCTGTTCACCGGGATGGACCCTTCAGCTTTAAAGGTGAGCCTCAACAGTTACAAGATAAGCTAATATCTATATTAAACTGTTCTGTCAATACCTTCGAATCATTTCTCAGATATCCAAAATGGCGCAGTGGATAGCAGCCGCAGTGTTGTGGTCTCCTGTTCTCTGTTTTTGTTTTTAGCTCCGTTTCTGTTCTCCCACTCTGAGGATATTTAACTCTATACTTAGTAGTCAAATGTTTATGGTCATCATTTTTAACTGTATGTTATTTATGTGTACATTTATAGCAACAAAATGCCAGGGTCGAATTCTTTGTTTATTCACCTACTCATTATGTCATAACATCTTATTATGAATTAAAGTACCTAAATCTGTCCCATTCCTCTTGTCAGGCCAATCTGAGGAGGAGGGGCGAATCTGACGGTCAGATGGACGGATCCACTCCCTCTCCTTCACAACTCTCTCGCTCTCCCAAGTCCCCCTTTCTCCCCCGGGCAGTGCGAGTACTGCCCCCAGCTGGTGGGAAAGAGAATGGGTAAGCTCAATTATTCATATAAAACTTGTTTTCTTTGCAGAGAAGACCAGAACGGGGGAGATAGGAATCAAATTGGACAGAGCCAGGGTTTCTTTGCTTTAGCCCGAGATAATGGTTCACACATCAGTGGTAATCAAATGTCTTCGTTAACTCAAGCTCTCTTCCTGAGGCTCTGTGCACAAACTCATAAAGGGAAAGGTTTGGTTGCATTTATTTGTTAATATTATAGAAGAAATGCTGCAAATAAGAGAGCAATGCTGGCAGAACATTTCTCATTTTGTAAATTCTTAAAGGTGGGGTAGGTAAGTTTGAGAAACCGGCTCGAGATACACTTTTTGTTATATTCCATGGAATGCTCTTAACATCCCGATAGCAATGAATATCTCAAATGCTTTGACAAAAAATCCATAAAAAAATGTCACCTGTGGAAGCCGTAGCGCTGTAAAAAGCACGACCAATCATCTGAGTCGGCCCGGCTAAAATAACTGGATGGCCTACCTGCCTGTCAGCTTTCCATCTGTGCACAAACTTATCTCGTGCCCTCATTGGTCATGTGCGCGTTCATGTGTGTTGGAGGAGGGGCTCTGTAAGGAAGTGGCAGATTTTTTACGGCTGTGTATTTTCAAATTCTAGCGCACTCGAGCTGGTTTCTCCAAAATTACCTATCCCACCTTTAAGTAATGTTCCTTTTTATTTTGGCTGCACTAAACATTAAACTTCACAGCAGGGGTTTGGTTGGATTTTTTTTTTGTATTTACTGTGCAAAATTGTATTGATAACAAAACATTTAATTTTACCACTCGATGCATTCTCTGTGCTCTCTTTTTATATTCTGGAAAAAAAGTGTTTTTACTTTAAACTTCACACAGGATTGAAACGATAAACTCAATAATTGCACTGCTAATTGAGCTTTTTACCCTCAGGTTCGAAGTTTAACATGAACCACTAAGCCTTGTATTCCAGTTCTCTGTTTGACGTTTGTCTCCTTCTCTCTGTGCAGCGAGGAGGACTCACCGCAGTGGTTGAAAGAGCTGAAGTCCAAGAAGCGTTTGAGTCAGTATGAAAATGAAAGCTAAGATATTAATGAGGTGAGTTAGCTTTTGAAATGTCTCCCCATCTTTCAATGTGTATTTAACAAAAAATACCTACATATTTTAACACCTGTTATCCTCACTCGACCCCCTTTAGGTGGCCTTATCAGATGAATCTATATGAAACAGAAGCCTTAACTTTGGAGAGTAGGAGAGAGGAATCTACAGCTGCTGACCTTTTTTTTTTTTTTTTTTTTATTCTCTTCCCATCTGGGTTTATAATGTGCATGGTGCCTTTTTTTTTACGGAGAGTCTCTGTCTTTTGGAAAAAGAATAAAACAAGCAAGGAGGAGAAGAAACAAAAACATCGTGCTGCTCTACTTCATCCATTTCATGCTTGAACCGGTGGAAGCTCTCCTGCAGCAGGACCTTCACATGAACACTTTAAGAGGGACCAGGAGGAGACAGGAGGGGAGGGAGAGATTATTGGCAATAGTGCTGCAACTGATGATTATTTTCATGATCGATTCATCTGTTGATTATTATCTAGATTGATTGGTTCATTGTTTGGTTGAAAAATGGCTGTGCACTCTGTCCATGGTGATGTAAATGTCTTGTTTTTTTTGTCAAAAACCCAAAGATATTCAGTTATAATAAAGCAAAGCAAGTATTGTCCACATTTGAGAGGTTAAAATATAATTTTCTGACATTTTTGCGTAAAAGTTGCTTTAACGATGAATTGATCATCAAAATTGTGCTGTCTATACGAACCGTTGCAGATGTATTTAACAACTATTTTGTATTAAGCAAAAAGTTAAGAAATGTTTGACTTGTGGGACCACGCAACACTTTTTCCTCTACGAGCTTCATCACACACTGGAGGACAATCCAGAAAATCCTCGTCAAGATGTCTGTTAGTTTCCTGACCTGACTTGTGTGTACAGGTCGTAACATAATGTGTGTGTTATCAGTATGTTGAAGGGCGTCACACAAGTATTGCCATAGGACGTCATTTCAGACGCTAATGATCTCCTTCTTGAACATAAAGAACAAATCACTGCTGTCTTTATTGCTAGTGTAAATCTTGTTAACATCTGTAATCAGGAGATGTTATATTTGTATTATGATTGATTTAACAGAGAACTAGTTTTGTGTTGCATCACTACAATAGACTTTGTTACGCTCCACACAACCCTAACAGTGTCAGAGTTGCTGCATCTTGTACATATGTTTTTGTTTAAATATATTTTAGTTTTTTGTGTAGGAGGGACGGGGGACTTTGCATCTGTCAATCATGCACACTCCTTATCAGCACAAATACTTTTATAAAAGAGAAACACTAATCAGCCTGTCTTCCCAGAATGATTGTAGCGTTTACTAAAAGCCATACTTTCAGATTTTAGCCCTCACACACTCCTAAATCCTGATTTGACAATGCTTGTTGTTTTTCAAACAAAATGTGGAATTGTGTCCCCTTTAATGTGCATGCACAATCTTTGCTGTCAAACTGAAAGTGTTGGGTGCTCCAGTGGAGGGATTATTTGTTCTCTACTTTGTTTAAATCACTCTATGAAACTCCTCAAAGCATATGAACATTTGCACCTGCTTTCCACCTTTACTGTAATCCTCCTCCTGCTGCTGCGCTTCTATAAAGCACTTTGTCACTCGACGCACTACGGCACTGACCTCTGCCTCTCGTCTGGTCTCCTGTGGTGTTGGAGATTTTCTCATGCAATGCAAGTGAATGTGTCGAAGTCCTCTGGGGGGATTGTCCCTGGTTTCTATGTACGTGACCTTTTACTTTGTCATAAAAATGTGAGGGTTTATTTTTTGTCCTTTTTTTTTTTAATTTGAAAGTAAAGATGTATATTGCACTGTGTTGTACTGGCCAGTGTCCTAAAGTGAATACATTCTTAATAAAATGTACTTGAGTTAAACATTGGTCTAGAGTTTTTCTGGCAGAGTTTTACCTTGTGGATATTTAAAAAAACTAAAAGTTCTATCGTTTTAGGAAAGATTGGTTACTCAGTATACTCAAGTGTAGATTAGCATGTATCAGGTGCTTTTGGAAAAAACAGGAAGTTGATTCAGGCACTCAACTTCCTCCAGAAACATTTTAGGAAATGAAACCACAAGGAAGACATATTAAAAAGATTGTATTGTTAAGGTTTATTTATTAAAAAGCCAACATGTTTAGGCCACTGTAGGTATTCCTCAGGGATGGTAACATGTGCAACTATTTTTTGTTCAAACAACTTACGGAAAGTATTACTTTGAGGTCAAAAGAGGTCAGAATAAATTAATAGGTGAATTTAAAATTTATTTTTCATGCGGTGTAATTATTTGCCAGAAACGAGACAAAAGGCTCGACAAAAACAACTTGACTGTCAGAATTATTATTATAAGGGTTTTATATTTTCGATACCCTTATTATAAATGATTTCACAATTCACAGATTTACTACACAGTGCATCCTGTGAATGGACATATTTGTGATACCACTAACCTACATTTGGATTAAGAGGAAGTTTTGTGTGTCTAATCCCTCTGTGTGTGTGTGTGTGTGTTTGTGCTGAGCGGGGCTGTTTGCTGAATCCTCTTGGCTCTCTTTCCCCGTGCCCGCACACAGTGCTCGCTGGCAGCGGGTGGACAGGCAGGACAGCGCGTGCCAACACAGCTGCCTATTGAGAGGCAGCGTTACGGACACAATGTGAGCGACAGACTTGCTGTATCAACAGCTCCCCCTTTTCTGCTGTTGTGGCCAGAAATAAACCATAAATACCCCCCCTGTCTCTTCCCTTTAATGGCTCAACCCCACCATACAGCAAGTGGCACCGAACAAAGAGGGACAGTACCACTTCCTAGCAGACATACCCAGGTAAAAAGCTCACTGTGGACACAGGCGGGGTAATACATCCAATGCAATGGAGTTAGATGGTGCTGCATCAATTGGAGACCAAGGTTTGGATGATTTTAGTATCATGGACATACTTTAAGGGATGATATCATCTTTTGTGTCCTATTCAGTTAATGATTATCCTTACAAAAGGAATACAATCCACTACTTGAGTCATACATTGCAATCTTGACATTGAGCTTTTTTCCTCCTGTCTGTGTTTCCGTCCCTGAACATGCATGCATGATGGATGGTGCATTGCCTGTGTGTTTGCTGCTGGCACAAAGTGGATGAGCAGTGGATCAGGAGGATGTCGGAGCAGCAGAGTGCCCCAGAGCAGCAGGCGGCAGGGAAGAGCCAGGGAGGAGCTGGAGCCTCGTATAAGGTGCTGAGAAACAGAGTCTGTGCAGGGCTGGAAACCTGGTTTGGTCAGGGAAGGAGCCAAAATGTCTTACTATTGGATCAAAATCTCCTTAGTTAAAAAAAATAATAAATCAATGTGACCTGGTGAACACACATAAGAATACATGTTGCTGTAAGTGGATATTTTGGATTATCTCTTTGGCAGTGGTGAACTGTAACCTTTACTCAGGTATTTACATATTTCACTTAAGGTACACGTTAAATGCAGGATTTAACTAACAGAGTATTTTAGTGTATTATAATTCAAGGATTTGAATACTTTCCCCCCCACTGTTTGGTCAAGTGAAATCACTTCTTTAGGATCAATATTAGCCCCTTTATGAAGGCCTATATCCAAACCACACCTCATGGACACTGACTTGTTGTTAAGCAGGGAGTGAATCTGCAGCTGTTTGTCTTCCAGGTGTTTCTGTTTGAGTTTGAAAACTTCCAGGGCTGCAAGGCGGAGTTTTCTGCAGAGTGTAAAGATGTGATGGAGAAGGGACTGCAGAAAGTCGGATCTGTGATAGTCGAGTCCGGACCGTAAGTACTGGTCCAAACATATGTATACACTGTAAGTATGGTTGGGCGATGTGGAGTAAATCAAATATCACAATCATTTGATATAACCTTGATATCGATAACAATGTTGTTGGGTGGCTTATTTGTGCTTTGATAAAAAATATTTAGACAATGGGATGTTTTAATAAATAATCATCAGTACTGTGGATATAAGGACTTAAGGTTAAAGACAAATCTACAAATTAGAAAGAAAATGACATTCCTTTACTGTAAAGTAAAGTACAAAATGCCTACACAGCCTTTAAAAGTACAAAATAGTCAACCATATTACAATATCCAAAATCTAAGAAGTTGCATCTCATCACAATACCGATTTAATATCCATATATTGCCCTGCCTTAGTAGTAAGAATACAGTTTCCCATATCACTTATAATTGTATCAGCACTGACATTGGTTTGGCTGTTTTGAAGCTGATGATTCTTGCTGTTTTGAATTTGTATCTTCATGGTTAATTTTAAGTCGCTTTGGATGAAAGCGACAGCAAAATGTAATGTTATGTGTCAGGCAAAAATAAAGCTCCTCTTTTCCCATTTCTCCCCTCTCAGCTGGGCGGGTTACGATCGGCATGGCTTCACAGGGGAGCAGTTCATTCTGGAGAAGGGCGAGTATCCGCGCTGGGACACCTGGACCAACAGTCAGAACAGCTACTCCCTCTTCTCTCTAAGGCCACTCAAAGTGGTGGGTGAACAGTATAATACAAAACTGACTCTTTTTACACAAACACTTAGATTATCCATTAATCTGCCTATTGTTTTCTATTGGATTCATCGTTTGGCATTTCAAATGTCAGAATATAGGGACAAATGTCCATCCCCATCCAAGTTCTTTAAATGTCAATTGTTAATATTCAGCTTAACATGATATAAACCAGAGGCTGAAAACAGCATTTCCTGACATTTCTTCATGAATAATTACCTTTCATCAGTTATCACATATCATCAAAAAGGTTGGTTATTATTTTTCTACCCATTGACTTACTCTTGCACCTATAATTAGCAATTATTTCCTGTCAGGCAACATTTCAGGAAATGTATATTGAATTAGATTAGATTGGTACCAAATTGGAACAGCATGTAAACAAGGCATTGCACATGATTTAAAAATCTAATAAATATATATAAAATATACAGAATAAGTTTGATTACATTGTAGTAGACCAACCTACTTCTAATACAATATAAAAATAGGATTCTATGTACATTGTACAAGTATGCATGAGGTTGAGAGTGATAGTAAAATGTATATACAAATTGTTCAAGGTTATTGAAAGAGTCAATAATAAGAGTCATGTGAGCTGCACACCAAACCTCATTGTTTTAACACACTGGAGACATTTGTAAGATGCCTGTGTCTGTTTCTCCTCTACAGGACGGTGCTGAACACAAGCTGCACCTGTTCGAGAACCCAGGATTCACCGGTAGAAAGATGGAGATTGTTGACGATGATGTGCCCAGTTTGTGGGGACATGGTTTTCAGGACCGTGTGGCAAGTGTGAAGGCACTTAACGGAACGTAAGACCTTCACTAAATCCCACTTTCATTGTCTAGTTTTTCTATTTTTCCTACCCAAAGCAAATAACTGTTTAATGCGTTTACTTGTAAGGGACAGGTAAACTTGTACTTTTTCACCTCTTTATTTCCAACGTTGATTTGGAAATACAGCACGTAAAGGACTTTGAATTGTCTTTGTTACCTTACAACCCTTAGTATACTCACATAAACCCTCAAAACAGGCAAATGACACAATGCCTAGACTGACTCTAGTATTCAAACAATGCCTGGTAAATCTGGCTTTGAGGTAGCCTTGCTTTATTGTCTTATGAGACCTGCTCTCTGTTTTCCCTCCCTGCAGATGGGTGGGCTACCTCTACCCCGGATACAGGGGGCGCCAGTTCATCTTCGAGAGAGGAGACTTTAAACACTGGAACGACTGGGAGGCCCCGGACCCTCAGATCCAGTCTGTCCGACGTGTGAGGGACATGCAGTGGCACAAGAAGGGCTGCTTCGTTGTCCCAGACCCGGCCCCGGCCCCGGCCCCCGCCCCGGCCCCTGGCCCCGACCCCGACCCTACCCCAGCACCTCCTGCACCTCCTGCCACAGCTGGAGCCAGCTGAGCAGGACCCCCATACCTCCACCACCCAGTACCCCCCTCCCTACGCTGCCGACAGTGCCTTAACCTGACCTTGGCAAATGCGTGTGCCCATGAGGAGTGCCATGTATGTTTCACTGGCGAATAAAATATGTTTGACCTGGAGCTGCTTGTTGCTGATTGTTTGCTTTTCAGTCAATGAAACTGAGGCAGTTTCACACATTAACACATTGGGAAACCTGTAAAGTAAAACAAGTTTTGGAAGGACTCAGATCCTTTACTTAAGTAGAATTACCATGGTCTTAAAATACTCCATTACAAGTACAAAGCCTGAATTCAAAGTGTTACTTGAGTACAAGTGCAGAATTATTCTTGGGTTAATGTTCTTTAAGATAAGATAAGATAAGATGGACCTTTATAAATCCCTGTAGGGAAATGCAGGTGTTATAGCAGCAACATAATAAGAGAGAAACACGGATAGTACACATGGTATAATAAGAATAAAAATACAAATATGAATAAACATGTAGTAACATTATGAATATAAATAACATGAGTTATAACTCTGACGAGGTGAATGAACGTATATACAGATATGTGACCAAGTTTAAATATATATATATATATATATATATATATATACATTTCAGTTTTAAAAGTAAAAGTAAGTTTGCAGAATTCTTCTTTTCGTAGTGGTTTACAATACAAATATTGTGTCTGTCATGTTAAGCCAATTTTAGTTTAGTAACTTTTAAGATACAAGGTACTTCCGTAGTACCGTGCTACATCTTATCATAAAAGCAACGAATGTGTTTTTATATGTACAAAGTAACTAGTAACTATGAGTGTAGTGGGTTAAAAAGTACAATATTTTCCTCCAAAATGAAGTGGAGCAGTAGTATAAGTAGCATAAATAGAAATACTTAAGTAAAGTACAAGTATGTATGAATATTATTTAAGTACAATACTTCATTAAATGTACTTTGTTTCTCTCCACCATGTGTAAAACTCTCAAGTCATGTGTGCCACTTTCTCTGCTTGTGTTGTCTTGTAGTCACACATCTCAAAGCCTCGTGCATCTCTGGAGCACATGACTTATTCACCAAATATGTGGAGACGCATCTGCTTTACAGCAAGTGAGCTGATGTCATACTTTATTCTTGCTTCCTATTAAAACAGAGTGCACTGCATTCTCACTGATAGTCATCATCGTGCATTTAGTGGTTCATGACGAGTGAACAAGTTAACATTAGGAACTGATGAACTCCTGTACATATTAGTCTACAATAAAGTATAGTTTTGGTCATCTGCAGACATGATTACTTTGTATGATTCTTATGACATTAAATTGAACATGCAGGCTTTTATTTAGCAGATGTTGATGTTATATGGCAACACTATTAAAAATTGAGATAATAGTGACACAGAACAGCTCCATGTGTCTCCTGCAGTGCTCTACTATACTTGTTCTCACATGCCAGTAATGAAAACTTGCAAAAACAACATGCAGCTGTGAGCACATCTGTAGTTTACTAATGAAGATGAAGCTCTCATTGAAGATTTTAGTTCAAGGGTCCTCATGCTGATTTGTGGATTTCTGAAATATTCTAATTTCAATGTGTATTTTGGAGTATTTGTTGGTTGCAGTGTGATATTCCTGCATTTAAATCTGTTGTTTTCATGAAGCCTTGTTGGCATGTGCTCTAAAACCCAGATCCTTGTTCAGATGTTCTCAAATAAGTTGCAACAAATTGATTTAGCAACCTTAAATACTTTGACAGTACCCTCAAAAAACGGTATGCTATATATATATATATATATAGGTAGGGATGCATAATGATATTGGCACACAAAGGCTTTAAATGATCTCAGTATACAGTGTATATTCCCACATTTTGGTATTGGCATCAGGCATCAGGACGAAATGAGAGGGAAAATATTGCCATAAAAGATAACAGAATAAATCTATGACATAGAAAGAGTGCAAATCTCCCATTTTGTAATTACCACTACAAAAATGTTTAATCATTTTATAATTATTATACATTTTTGTTCAGGCTGTGCAGCAGATTATTACACAATGAGGGTATGTGTGTGTTTTTCTGTGCTTTTGTATGTTTTCTTTTCTTATGCCATCTACCTGCCAGGGACTGCAGATGGAAATGAGCCTCTATGGCTAAATCTGGCACATTGACTCACGTGCTCATGTTAATGAATGTGCATTATCCCTTCTTTAATAAATAAATACAAATATTACATAAGGTAAAACATATTACATTGAGTTTGGGTTTTACATAATGTGTTAATTATTTAATACTCTGTTAATACTTGTTAGATCTGTATGAGATGCTAACAGACTTGTTTTTGAAAGGCAAGCACAGCTTTAAGAACAAATAGCAACTGAGATCTGTTTTTCCACATGTTTCATGTTTCTCTTTGTACTTCTTCACTTGGGTCAGTGCAAGGTCAGTTTAACACGCCTGGAGCTACACAGGTGGTTATTTCTTTATAAAGAGATGTTATTTTAGACTCACTGCCTGAAGCACCAGCAAATGTGGAGAGAGGGGCTATAGCTCTTTACTTAATTATAATAGTACTCTATTTCTCCATACAAATAGTTGTTTTCTACGGCCCAGCAGAAGAAAGGTGTATCAATCATCGATGTTTGTAAGTCTTTATGAAAGGTTCAGTTTTATGTAATTGCATTGTCCCTATCTAATACAATACATATCAAAATGATGTGGAACAAATAATTAAAACATTTCATGACTGCAATGAGGCAGTAAAAAACAACCAGATAATTAAATAATACAAAATGAAAATAAAATAAAATATCAAAAAGTATTGTAATAAAATATCAAAAAGATAATGAGAAAACAAACATTTTTAAATAAATGGCGCACTAGAATAAATAAAGAGCTCCAGGTAGTAAACAACATATGAAGTCTCATCAAATGTTCAAATGAAATACTGGTAATGCAAAATGATGAATAAATATAAAACTAAAGCAGCTAATTAATCTCGTTTAATTTAATGGACACTAAACTCTGTTACTGCAAACAGGAGAAAGGCAGCATACAGTAAACAGGTTGGTAACAAAAATGCATGCTTTGGAGTTTTTAAACAGCAGAGGCAACACATGTTGACATTAAACCCTTAATAGTAAATTATAAATCAAATAAACCGACTCCTGTGGAAACATTTAGCAGTGTTTTTGGATTGTTATTCAGTCTCTTCAGCACTGTACACAGATTTTGTACAATCATCTCTCTCTCTCCGGCTCTCATTGTAGGTGCGGGACTCTTGGCACTGTTTGTGCTGATTCATGTGGATATCGAACAATGACTGGCTGCACAAAACTGACAACTAATGAAATAACTTTGTGGGGGTGTGACCCCCCGGGGTGGGGGGGGAGGCTACACGGTCACCCCTCATCTCAGTCCCCTGGGCCTATGGCAGGCCGACCTGCAGCCGGTGTGCACACTGTGGGTACTGTTGGCAGAGTTTCAACCCCTGGGCGTCCCGTATATATTGAGCTCCTCGTGCCATCACAACACACTGGCAAACTGGCACAGACAGGTACTGGTAAGAGCTTCATGTCCGTAGCACTGTATTTCCTCTAAAGTGTATCTGTATTTGTTTTCATTGTAATACTGTGCTTTTATTTGTCATTGCTACAAACTCTTTTCCATGTTGCATTATTGTAATTTTGTGTGAGAAGAATATGAAGTTACTTTTTGAGGAAGAGTGATGTGCATTTTTGCATGCATTTGAAAGGGTAAATCATTATGAAACTAAATATATGAAAGTGGGTTTAGCAGGAGTTTGACCTACTTGCATTTTAAATGTAAACATTTAGAAATCATGTAGACATCCATGGATAAACTAATTGTATTTTTTTTTGCAGTTTCACTATTCACTATGGCCGCAGATCACCAGAACCCTGCATCCAAGCAGCAGCAGCCAGGCACCAGTGCATTTAAGGTGGGAGGAAATTAGATTACAAAACAATTTACAACTTCCTCCTCGGAGAAATAACTTGTTGTTCTGGATCATTGCCTCCTCCAAACATAATTGGAAACAGATCTTAAAATTAGAGACCAGAAATTCACAACATTTTTCCCCTTTTCTCTCTTTGGTGCACAGCTGGTTATCTATGAACAGGAAAACTTCCAGGGACGCTGCCATGAGCTGACTGGTCCCTGCAACAACGTCCAGGAAGCAGGCGTGGAGAAAGTGGGCTCCATACTGGTGCTGTGTGGACCGTGAGTGTGGCACAAAGACAGACAGAGACTAAAACCTTTTAAAAAACTGTGAACTTATATAGTATATAAATATTTGTGTAATAGTTTCTCAAAAAGGGTTAAAAATATCAATTTCTGAAATTGCTGAATGGAAAAATATGTTGAAGATTATTCAAATGTTTCTCTGTGAATTGACCTATTGACAAGTCGTCATGCCATGGCAGCTCCAGTGATTTAGGATGATATAGAAGGGAGTAAAATGGCCAGAAAAGTAACGACTAAATGTGTTCTTTTGACTGTTTTTCACTCAACCATCTCTCTCTTTCTCCTCACGCTCAGATGGGTGGGATACGAGCAGGCCAACTGTAAGGGGGAGCAGTATGTGTATGAGAAGGGGGAGTATCCTCGCTGGGATTCCTGGACCAACAGCAGGCGCAGCGACACCATTCTTGCTTTCCGCCCGATTAAAGTGGTAACAAACATACATACAAACTAACGTAAAAAAAAAAACATTAGTATATCCCCCAGTTGTCCCACAAAGTTTTATTTTATTCCCCATGCTTACTTGAATTCCTGAAGAGGACATGCCTACCAGGTGAACGAAGACTCAAAACACAGAGAAAGTTTGAGATGAATTGAAGGAAACAGGGGCAGCGTTTTAAAAACTGCAGAACTTTAACAAAACATATTTTTACAAACTCATACACAGCTGGTGCATTATAAATCAGGTCCTTCATTTTTGCTGAAACCTTCCTTTTAAAACACTTCTTACCTGCATGCCTGTAGTGTAGTGTAGTGGGTCTGTTTATGCAGAAGTGCTTTAAAGTAAGTTTATAGTGAAAATGCACATTGAGCATACATCATGATCAATAAGACTGATTATACTACACAAGTGTTATGAGCTTTTTCAAACAGATGTTTTGATATGCTTTTGCTGTTAAACAAAACATCTATTTCATCAAGACTTTTCTTTGTTTTTTGACTCTTCATTCACCATGGAGGCCTGCGAGATCAACGTTCACAGGTTCTAAAATTGATACAAACGGCCAATTTATTGGTGAAGTATTCCTCTAATAAGTTATCCACTTTGTAAATACTTTTCTCCTCGCTTACAGGACAGCCAGGAGCACAAGATTGTCCTTTACGAGAACCCCAGCTTTGCAGGGAAGAAGATAGAAATCATAGATGATGATGTCCCCAGCTTTCACGCACACGGCTACCAGGAGAAGGTCTCCTCTGTCCGGGTGCAGAGTGGCACGTGAGTCCATCGGATACAGATGTTATGTCATACTGCAAATTACTAACTGAATGTCTCTTCTTACCTATAACTCTGATCTATTTGCTCTCTCTGTGCTCCTGGTGCTCCAGTTGGGTGGGATATCAGTATCCAGGCTACAGAGGCTATCAGTACCTGTTTGAGAAGGGGGAGTATAAGGACAGCTCTGAGTTCGGAGCCCAGACCCCTCAGATCCAGTCTGTCCGCCGCGTCAGAGACATGCAGTGGCATCAGAGGGGTGCTTTCAAACCCGTCAACTAAGCTAGTGACTCTTTCCTGTCATTGAACCTTGCTCCCTCCCAGCATCACCCCCCCCCCCCCCTTTGTCCTTCATTTACACCTTAAAGCATTTTGATATCTATTGCAGCTGTTGCAGTAGTGACGTTCTTTCAAGCAAACTAATAAAACCGTATTGCTTAAATTTGACTGTGTTGTATCTATGTGTCTTTGCCAATTAAAGTTATGTTCATTATGTCCAGAGGTGGAAGAAGTACTCAGATTGTGTATTTAAGTAAAAGTTGAACTACCAAAGAGCAGGAATGACCGCCCAATTCCAGAATTATATTATTATATATGTTAGGGAATAATTCTGTATACATGTTTGCCTTTTGCCCTCTGACGCAGATGCCCAACCTTGGGCAGCCGCTATCTCCCTTAAGGAGGGGCTGCCCAAGCATTTTGTTGTTGTTACCAGTTTATGACCGGGCAATTCTCGGTCAGAGATAGTTATTGTTGTGGGACACCTGGAACACATCCTTCTCGGGGTTGATTATTACACTCTGAACTAGTTAAAACCTGGAACTACAGGAGGGTTCTTCAGAATTGATTGATCAACCGTGTGGTCAAACCGTGGCCCGTGACATGTCCTCCAAATAAACCGTCAGTGTTTTGTTATCTATGTTCGCTATTCTCGCGTCCAGGAGAGAAGCTTTAAAAAGGAGACTAATTGAGTCTCTGAGAAGGTTCAAATGTATACTTTAATTAATAAAAAGCGCTGTAATGTTACAAGCAGGAGATGGTTCAGTGAGGAGAGAAAGGCTGCAGCTTCGTGAAGAAGAGACCAAAAATAAACCCCGTGAACTTTGGAAATTACTCAATAACCAGCTTGGCTGCAGTAAAAAACTCAAAACGAGATTTTCTAACTTAAACATAAAGACAGATAACAGGCTCATCACAGACAAACTGGATGTGGCCAAGTACTTGAACATTTTTTTCACAAACATAGCCACAACTCTTGTAAATAAATTACCCTCCCACTCAGGGCTTTTTCGAGTAGATCACATCATGACCTACTACAAAAACCTAGGGGTACGCAAAGATGATTTCAGTCTAGCAAGGGTAACAACAGCAGAGGTACTCATTAAACTGAGCGCCCTCCAACCTAACAAGGCCACTGGCCACGACAATATCCCCTCCAAATTCCTCAGAGACACAGCAACCGCCATCTCACCAGTCATAGCTCACATAATTAACCTCTCCATAAAACAGGGAAAAGTACCCAAAGACTTCAAAATTGCAAGAGTAACCCCCCTGCACAAAAAGGGCAGCAAATTGGACCCAGGCAACTACCGCCCTGTTTCTATACTTACCTCCATCTCGAAAGTCATGGAAAAAATAGTATATGAACAGGTCGAAAAGTACCTCGCGGAAAAGAAACTAATCTATGAATTTCAATCTGGCTTTAGAACATCCCACTCCACTGACACATGCCTTCTTTATTTGAGCGACCACATCAAACAAGAGGTGGACGAGGGCAAATACTGCGGCATGGTGATGCTGATTGACAAGCTAAAAGCAATTTCATAAACTATCGGTGAGCTGGATGCAATCCTACCTGGAGGGGAGAGAACAGATGGTGGAGGTAAACGGTACTCTGTCTCCCCCCCTCCCAGTGAGCTGTGGTGTTCCACAAGGAAGCATATTAGGTCCGTTACTGTTCCTAATGTATGTAAATGACATGTCATCAGCATGTGACTGCAACTTGTTCCTGTTCGCGGACGACTCAGCCCTGCTGGTCTCTGACAGGAACAGATTGCAGGTTGAAAAAACCCTCAGCTCCGAGCTCGGCAGAATCTGCACCTGGCTCGCCGATAATAAATTATCATTACACCTGGGTAAAACAGAGTCCATTCTCTTCGGTTCGAAACATAATCTCAGCAAATCCGACGACTTCTCAGTTGCAGTGGGTGACATTATTGTCACAAGTAAGAAGGAAATTATATACCTAGGATCTATTCTTGAGGCAAACCTCTCCTGTGACAAAATGGCATCCAATGTAATAAAAAAAGTCAATCAAAGAACTAGATTCCTATACCGGATCTCCTCTCTGGTAAACAAAAACACCCTGAAAACTCTGGCAGGAGCACTCATTCAAGGGTACTATGACTATGCTTGCACGTCATGGTACCATAGCACCTCCAAGGCGCTAAAAATAAAACTTCAAACATCGCAAAATAAACTGGTCAGACTACTGCTTGACCTTCCATCTAGAACCCACCTCACCTCTGCCCACTTTGACAACATAGGATGGCTTAGAGTAGACGACAGAGTACAGCTACTTGCAATGGGCCTGGTCTACAAGATCCACTACACCTCTATGGTACCCATGTACATGTCAAAATTCTTCCCAAAGGTCAAGGAATACCATGATCATAACACCAGAGGGAGCTCCACAAATCATGTGAAACCCAGATTTGGCACAAAAAAGGGGGAATACACATTTCGCAATTATGCCACATCAAGGTGGAACGCTCTTCCCACAACTGTAAAGGAAAGTAAAACTATACTTACCTTCAAAACCTCTCTTAAAGAGCACCTTCGGGGGAGAGCATTGCAAAACTGGCCCCGGTAATGGTACAAATCTCAACCTGTCGTTCAATGGACAGCTTCCCCCCCCCCCATCTATGTATATACTCACATTTTAGACTCTGTTACTAACTGTATATCTGTAGACTAGGTATGTCTTAAATGTCCGGTTAGGATGTATTAGAACGAAATCTAAAATGAAAATTGTAAACAAGCAATCTGTATGTAAAAAAACCACCTGTATGTAAATTGTAAATAAGCCATCTGTATGTCAAATATGTCTTATATGTCTTAAATGATATGATGAATTGGAAATGGGGGACCCTGATGTAAAGACGAAAGTCTTTCTCTGGTCTGCATCCCCTTAACAATTGTATGTTTTGAGCTGTACTGTACTGTACCCAATATACAAGCTGTTAATAAACGTTTCAATCAATCAATCAAACCTCACAAGCCTTCGTCTTTCCCGCTTGCTGGCTGTTCGCTCCTCCTCTCTGGGGGCTGTGGTGACGTAGGGGGACTTCCCCCCTCGTTCTTCTGTGTCCGATATTGCGTTAAACAGAGGATTTCGACATTTTACATTCATTGCTTACTTCCACATGCCTTTTCTCCTCCTTATCTCTTTCATAACTTTATATGTAATACATGTTAACGGCGTCAATAGCCACTTTAATGATACAAATAGACGGTAGTCCCGGAAGTCGTCATGAAGGATTTTCAGAATAAAAGCTTGGTATTGAGAACTTCCGTTTTTTTCCAGAATAAAATAGCATTTAAACTGACGGTATGTATGACATTATGCCATAAAACATTGATTTTAATTTCTAACAGTTTGCCATCAAAGCTCCAGCTCTCCCCGTGTCTCTCTGAGTCCTGTTTCCAATTGCTACAGAAGTTTCCCCCACAATATTGAATATTATTATTGATGCATTAAAGTGTTATCAAAGCTGGTAAAGGTGAAACTAGTTTTAATTCCTTTGTATACTGCAGGGTAGCTTGTGAATTTACTCCAGGTGTAGCTGATTAAATGTTATATAATTAATCTAAATCTGCAAAGTAAATAAAGGTATAAAATAAATGTAGTGGAGTAAAAGTACACGATTTAGCCTACCTGTGAGTTGAAGTGGAGTAGAACTACAAAGTAGCAAAACATGGAAATACTCTGGTAAAGTCCCTCAAAATTGTGCTTAAGTATATAGTACCTGAAAAAATGTGCTTAGCTCTTTAACACCTCTGATTATGTCATTAAAATGATCTATAAATGTACCTCGAAACCCATTTTAATTGCAGTTTGTGCGTTGCACTGGACAACCCCGACAGCTACGTTGTGCTGAAGGGGCAAACGCAGGTGACGTCACTTCCGGTTTTCCAGCGAAGAAGAGCAAACGACACATGATGAAACAACATGCTACTTTAACTCATAGCCCTGTAATTCTTACGTTGTTTGAGTAAGAAAAGCTGTATTTTTCAAGTACTCTTCATCGCTACATTCTCACTTCAGACTTCGGTTCATCGGAAACGTTGGTATGATTTTTTTACCTAATGTAAATGTGACTTTTACGCTTTACAAGGCTAGCTAATTTAGACCTGTTCATTTAATCATGTTATGAAACCAGTTAGCTTATAACACCATCTGCTTTAATTATAGGGGTTTTCTGTACTAACTTTTATTGTATTGTATATCTTATCAAGCTTCAAAACTGACACCTAAACTAGCTATGCTGGTTGCCAAAAGACATTACTGTTTAATTGTTCAAAGAGGTTTTATTAATCGTTTTGTTCAACTCTTATATTCGGCATGCCTCAAATACATTAGAAAACCTATGGGACATTGTACAAGTTACTTCCTTCCTTTTAAACTGGATTGTTTTTGTCTGTTTCTTATTAACATTTCAGTCAGGAACATTTATATCACAAATCAAGAAAGAAAAATAACAATAAAGCAGAATATGTGCGGTTGCATTTGACAGAACTAAAAGAAAAACGTTACTGAAAGTAAACTATATATAATGTAAATTATAAAAGTGCAAACATATTTAACTATTCACATCCGGGGCAATGGCTTCTTAATGTTATAACAAAATTTGATCAACAAACAACGGACACATTTTGTAAACTAAATACAGATTTAACAACAGTGTAAGATTACTTGGATGAAAGCAAAATGTATGTATAAGAAAAACTTCCTTGACACTAAAACCTTTGGGTCACTAGAGTTTTGTAAGATTGCACTTTATGTGAGAGATTAAAATATCTGTTTAACAAATGTTGAACATGTTATCCTTTACCATAACCTCCTCCCACAGTCAAGATGCCTGTCCTCTGCAGTAGCTGTGGTGACAAGCGTGCTGTGCTGAAACGTCCGAAAACTGGCCACTCGCTGTGCAAGGCGTGTTTCTTCTGGGCCTTCGAGGAAGAGGTGCATCAGACCATCGTGACAGCAAATCTGTTCAAACATGGGGAAATTGTAGGGATTGCTGCCTCGGGTGGAAAGGACTCCACAGTGCTCGCACATGTCATGAAGCTCCTTAATGAGAGATTCAACTACGGCCTTGAACTCATGCTTCTCTCGGTGGACGAGGGTATCTCAGGTTACAGAGATGACTCCTTGGAGACAGTGAAGAGGAATCAGCAACAGTATGAGCTGCCGCTGAAGATTGTGTCGTATGAGGAGCTGTATGGCTGGACTATGGACGCTATAGTGAAGCAGGTGGGACGGAAGAATAACTGCACCTTCTGCGGCGTGTTCAGAAGGCAGGCGCTCGACAGAGGAGCCCTCATGCTGAAAGTGGACAAGATATGTACAGGTAACTCCAAGAACTATTACTTCAGTGTTTCCCAAAGTATTTGATTCTATTTGTGGGTGCACCCCCCCACCCCCCCTGGCAAGAAAAGCCAAAGGTCCCTTAACCTATTCGGGTGGCCCACGTATCCACCCCCCCCTCAAATAAGAAAATACATGCAAGTTCATGGCTACTGTAGACAACGTTCTTGTTGCTCTGTATTGCGTTGTTAATGAGTGAGACACACCGGAGTTGAGGATCTGTGGGGTTTATTCTCCCAAAAATATAATTTACAATGTAGGTATTGTAAAATTACAATGCCTTATTCCAAAGCGACTTACAATTACCAATTACAGGGACATTCTCCCTGGAGTACCTGAGGGCTAAGTGCCTTACTCAAGGGCACACTAGTAGTGGTGTTCCAGGCGGGATTTGAACTCGCAACCTTCCGGTAATCAGCCCACCTCACTATCCATTATTAACCAAAATTATTAAAAAAAAGATTTTTCTATGAGATCCATTTGTGGCGAACGATATTTAATTGTGGCGGCCCACTACAAATAAATCAATGTATGGGAAACACTGTACTTACTGTGAATGCAAGAATTTCCACTTTGAAATGTGACTAAGAAGTGCTAGGACTAAAGATATAATACGTGACATTTCCAAATATATCTATAAACAGCTGGTATATAATTTTTTGAGTTTTGATCTTACTTTATACCAAATGCTTCCACTAGTTTTCAAATCTACAGACATTTGAATCAAGGCAATATGATTTATTTCGATCTCCTGTTTTGGTGTTATTATATATGCCTTTTTGTGCTGTGTTTTAAATTAGACCCCTAGTGGCAAAAAAATGACATGTGCTTTTAATGTCAAAGATTGAATATTGTGTTGTTGTTGTTATTGTGTTTATTCCAGGTCACAATGCTGATGACATCGCGGAGACTGTTGTGATGAACGTCTTGCGAGGGGACATAGCTCGTCTGCGCCGCTGTACGGCCATCTCCACATCCAGCGAGGGTGATGGGGTCGTGCCGCGCTGCAAGCCCCTCAAATATGCATATGAGAAAGAAATTGTTCTGTACGCTTACTTTAAGAAGTTGGACTACTTTTCCACTGAATGTATCTACTCCCCCAATGCTTATCGTGGCCATGCGAGGACCTTTCTGAAGGACCTGGAGAGCGTCAGGCCTAGCTCTATAATGGACATCATCCACTCGGGGGAGAACCTGTCTGTGCGGGACGGGGTGAAGATGCCGGTGCAGGGAACCTGCCAACGCTGCGGCTACATCTCCAGCCAGAGTCTGTGCAAGTCCTGCGTGCTGCTGGAGGGTCTGAACCGAGGGCTGCCGAAGCTGGGCATCGGCAAACACCACCGGCTGCACGACAAGATCCTCACCCAGCAGCCCCTCACTGAGAAGGAGGAGAGGAAGCTGAAAGCAGTCCACTTCTGACCACAGATAGCGACTGTATTATTAACCAAAGACTGGAGGGATTTTTACTTTTAGAATAAACCATGTTTTTTGTCTTTAACATAAGAGGAAGAATAGAAAGTCAACTGTTTTTCTTTCATTCATCATCCATTTAATATTTATTGAAAGTTATGCATGGTATATTTTGTTATAAGAATGAGCATCTTCACAGGACGCACAGCCTATTCACAGTGTATAACCAGGGATCATTGAGATACTGTGGAGACACATTTTCCAGTGGTTATAAAGGTGTTAAATGTGATAAATGGTACGTGTATACAGTTGTTTCATTGCTTTCTGTATTACACACATAACAGGATCATGTGTCTGTAAAGCTTGGTGCCATGTTGAGTTCTTCAGGTCATTTTCATCATGGGGTTATTGGATAGAAGCATCACCTGGATTTCCAAATACTTCATATTTACACACACATGCTAAGTGAGGAGCTGAGACAAGGATGAGCAGCTTTGTTGTTTTTGAAGTGAGCTGGTTGTGAATGTTCAACATTAATGAAAGCTCTCACTAATGCCATGTTACATTTCTTTATGTGTTGCTTCTTCTTCACCGATCTCCGGGGAAGAGGTGATGACCGTTATGGTCTCATTCAAAGGTGTTTTATGAACTATATTTAATAAATGCATTGTCTCATATCTAAGTGTTCCTCCAATTTTTTCTTGATTTGGATTCAGTCATTCATCTCATGAAATCTACGAGTTGATGTCTGGGAGCCAGCAGAAAAACTTCTATCTATCTATGTGATAAGGAATTACTGTCATATAAATGTTGTACAGTAAAAGGTTCCATCTCAAATATTGTGGAATGGAAGTAAAAAGGTGGCAAACATATTTATTAGAATCCTTAGTAAAGTACTCAGACAAAGTCCTCTATTTGAAATTCTACTTATGTAAAAGTACAAATGAAGTACCATGAAAATAAACAAAAAGTAAAAGTGGTCAATCTGCATGCAACATCCCATTTCAGAATCATTGCAATTTGCAACTGTAGCTTGTCTGTCTATCTATCTGTCTGTCTATCTATCTATCCATCCATCCATCCATCCATCCATCCATCCATCCATCCATCCATCCATCCATCCATCCATCCATCTACAGCTTCTGGCCGCTAGGTGTCGCTCATCACTCCACCTCAGTCACAGTGCGCGCTCTCGTAAAGTACACATGCACATATCGCAGCGCGTTCACGAGATCTACCCTGACAAAACTTCCAGTGCAGCGCGTCAGCGGTGAAGTTTGGAGGAAAAATCAGACTTCGTAAACAGTTGAGGAGCTCAAACATAAAACTGACTCAGGCCAAAGCCAGGCAGCCACCATGGACGATTTAGGTAAGTCATTACGTTCTTTTTAAAACGCTTTTGTTGTTTTTGTTTACAGTCAAGGGGGGAGAAGTTGACGTACGCTGAGATTTAATGTTGAAAAGTCACGTTTCTGGGTCTCTGTGGTAGCCTACAATTGACCATTTTTTGACTTTTCTACGAATCGTAGTAGCGGTTTGACGTCATTAGCTTTTACAACCTCCTCCTTTTAAACTCTACCTCTCTAACGGTTTAGAACGTGTGTAACGTTTCTACGCACATTTAATAAGACATTATTTTGCAAGTGCCAGAGGGAGGAGATGTTTGGCTGACATTTTGACACAGAGCTTCAATATTACCTCCTCAACTTTTGCCCCCAGGCTATTCCTTCCAGCTTTGAAGTGGTGGAGTCAACAGGCCTCCCCCTTTTAGACTGCCCAGTGCAGCACACAGTGAGCCAGGCTGATGGGGCTATTGATACTTTACTACAAACCACAGGTGGTAGAAGTAGTAGATTATGTGTAGGAATTCTCTGTTACAAGTAAAAGTCTTGCATTTAAAAGGTTACTTCAGTAAAAGTACAAAAGTATTGGTCTCAAAATATACGTCAAAGAATTCATGCAAATTTGCCCATTTCAGAATAATATATTATATGTTTTGATTATAATTATTGATGTGTTTATCAAAGCTGGTAAAGGTGAAGATATATTGAATTACTTTGTATGCTGCAGGGTAGCTTGTGAATGTTACTCCAGGTGTAACTAAAGTCTTATTATATCTTTGCTCTAGTCTACTACTTTTATCTGACAAGATTTTTTACTTTGAAGAATCAGATCAACAAATATTATCTATCATATTTTATTTTACGATAAAACTTGATTGAGCTCTTAGTGACATGAATTAGCTAGACTTCAGTATAGAAAAACCATTATTGTATCAATTATAAATCAATATCTATTGTTCTGAAACAGGATGCTGAATCAGTACTTCTACTTTATAAAAGTGCTTCTCTTCAGTATTGCAGTTTCCTTCTACTTTATACTTCTACTCCATTACAAGTTAAGGGTAACTATTGTTGTTTTTAGGCCACTATGTTTATCTTACAGCCCAGACTGAAAGTCATAGTACACGATAACAACAATATAGAATATTACTATATGTTAGATCGCTTAATATTCTCTCAGAGAATTACAAGCTAAACAACAGTACATTTAGAAAAACACTCCTCCTTTCCTGGGTGCAAATTTAAAGTGACAATAATGTAATGATATCATATTTATTGTGTGCAAAATACTGTCAACTTTCTGCAGAAGCTGAAACAGTGGTAATAATGATTGTTCCTGACACCGTGCTGATATCGCTTAGATTTTTGCTGCAAGGCAGAATGTAAAATATTGGTGTAACTTTGCCACATCTATCTGTGTCCATGCATCACAGACCTTGAATTAGAAGCCGTCATGCTGCACAACATGCTTTTTTAAAAATGTATTTATAATAGTTAATTAAATGTAAAGGGACTGACTAGTCCACAAGCAAAAAAGAACTGACTGATTTATTATTACTACAAAAAAGTCAGATAGTTTAGAACGGAAGATCGCCTCTGATCATGTTTGGTTATTATTTTGCTTGTAGCTCCGTGCAGTCTATCAGCTCTTTCTATTTTGTGTGCCTCATTTACCAGTCAGCTCTTAAGTTGACTTTTGACCTTTGGCACCGAACCTCTGAACTTCTAATTCTGGTTTTTATACTTTTCACCAGCTGGTCATCTTGCTATATTTACCAGAACAATTCACTACTTAAGCCTCTGTCAGGTATTTGCAGGGAATACTCCCATTGTACTCCCAGAGCAGAAAGACAGTAAAGTGGATTTGCTGAATTGTTTAAGTGGAGAGATGATGGGACGCATTTTGAGTTTGGCCCGATCTGAGAATACTTATTAGATGCTCTGGCTGCTATCGGCTACTGAAAGGGCGTATTGTTGTTGGAGAGGGAGCCCGTAGTCTCACTGAAGCAGCGTGAACTGATGGAGGGGCGAGGCTGCTGAGGAATGTGGAACTTCACTGTGTGTCCGTCTCCAAGGCCAAATACTCCCTTGGTCAGGACTCACCTCCTACCAATACTCTCAGACTCATACCAGCACATTTATAGACTACATGGTTAGATGCTGGAAGTAAAGTCTGTGATTAACACAAGTCTAAAATATGTGATTTGTTTTGTTCTACGACATATCAGGAAATGCCCCAATTGGGAATTTCGAACCTTTTTAAGCATCTTAGAAAATGTGGCTAAATAAGATAACAGAGGTTGTCAGGGAAAACAAACGTCATCATGCCAAACATGAGACATTTCCTCTACTTTGACATGAAGCCATGAGACCGTGGGGATTACCTTGCTAATGATTGATGTAAATATCATGAATGTTTGTTTGCTACAAAGGTGATGTTTTGCAAAAATACAAATAAAAGAAAAATATCCTTTTATATATCCGGATGGTCTACAAGTATTCTTTATCCCTACAGACACTTATAGTATATTAAAAACATCTTGAACTTAAGGGCTGGTAGCCTGATGAGGACGGAGCCAGGAAGTACAATTGCTGACTGTAACCCCCTAATCCCACCAGGAGCGTCTGCGCTGCGCTGCGGCGTTTTTAGCGATCGCGGCCACTCTAGTCAATGGGTGCTATTCCACCAGACACACTGCGCCGCGCTGTGCCGCGGCTCGAAGCGTCCCAGAAGCTCCTCGCCGCAAGGAATTTCTAAAATATAGGATGAATCCTATTTTTGACGCGGCGCAGCGCGGCGCAGGCAGGAAGTGGAATGTTCACCAACTGCGAGGCTGCACACACGACGCTCCGCTTCCGCAACGTTTTGAAACGCGCCTGGTGGGTTAGGACGCAGGAGGAGGTCTATGGGCTCAGAACAGTCTCATAATACACACATGCACACAGAAGGATTCAAACTTGTATTTCCGGATCCATACTTGTGTTTTTCAATGCACAAATGTATTCCGTTTCATATACATGTAAATAAAATCCAAATACAGAAAAAAGTTTTACATGTGTATTTTTGATCCTCACTTATTAGTTTCCCGTTTAAATCCCCTGAACCTGCAAACACAAACAGCTTTCTGTGCACGGATCGCTTTGCATTCGTGTGTGGGTTTTATGAGACTCCCCTGACGGTCAGCCGATTCGTACTTGTAATTTTTTCTATCTATAGCCAATCAGATGTCTCCTTCATTCTAAGCCAATCACATGAGCGCGCCCCCACGAGGGTAAGATTACTTCATATACGCATTTTGCGCAGTCCGGTCAGCTCACTAAACAGAGGGCGGCGCATCAGGTGATCATGCAGAGCAGCGTGTCTCCATCAGACTCAGCAGCTGATCTGATCTCTCTCGCGTGTCCGGTTATACTTCACTCGCGTTTATGTCCATATCGATCAGATCCAGCTCTCCTGATCGGCCTTTATAGAGAGCACCGATCAAACTATTAAGAGTGAATATCGGCCGATAATGACCGGCGGGGCTCCCCCCCGAGGTCACTGTCTAGCACTGGCTTCGTAGTGCACTGATCGATTAGGCTAAGCTAACCTGTAGCTCCACACTCACAACAACTTCATACAGACATAAATAAAGCAGCTGTATTCGCAATCGCCATACAGGAAACACACATTTAAAACGGTTTTGCCTGCCGTTTTTGTGTACACAAACATTCATCAATGGTTTGGAAAGTGGCGCTGTACCTTAATATTATAAAGGCTTGTATTTGCGTGCATTTCCTGTTCGGAAAGTGGCGCTGTACTGAGAGTGGAGGGTGTCCTGAGATTAGCGCCTGCAGGCAGGCTCCATGCGAACGCAAGAAATCTACCCTCGTGGGGGCGCGCTCATGTGATTGGCTTAGAATTGAGGAGACATCTGATTGGCTATAGATAGAAATAATTACAAGTACGAATCGGCTGACCGCCAGGGGAGTCTCAAAAAACCCACACACGAATGCACAGCGATCCGTGCACAGAAAGCTGTTTGTGTTTGCAGGTTCAGAGGTTTTAAACTGAAAACAAATATGTGAGGATCAAAAATACACATGTAAAACTTTTTTCTGTATTTGGATTTTATTTACATTTATATGAAACGGAATACATTTGTGTGTGCATTGAAAAACACAAGTGTGGATCCGGAAATACAAGTGTGAATCCTTTTGCGGATCATGAAATACAAGTGTGAATCCTTCTGTGTGCATGTGTGTATTATGAGACTGTTCTGAGCCCATAGAGGTCGCAGCGCGGCGCTGCGACCTCCTCCTGCGTCATAACCCACCAGGCGCGTTTCAAAACGTTGCGGAAGCGGAGCGTCGTGTGTGCAGCCTCGCAGTTGTTGGATGAACGTTCCACTTCCTGCCTGCGCTGCGCCGCGTCAAAAATAGGATTCATCCTATATTTTAGAAATTCCTTGCGGCGAGGAGCTTCTGGGACGCTTCGAGCCGCGGCGCAGCGGGTCTGGTGGAATAGCATCCATTGACTAGAGTGGCCGCGATCGCTAAAAACGCCGCAGCGCAGACGCTCCTGGTGGGATTAGGGGGTTAAGGTTTAAAATATCTTGTCTACATCATGTGGTAAAGCCCTACCATATCCTCCATACATATGCAATATTAAACCATGTTCAATCTTTGTTAATACTTTCTGACTGTGGTTAACTGCACTTCCAGTACCCCCCCCAGCTAACAAGCGCCCCTCCCACACGGCCATGTGTTGAGGCTCATGATGACTGACAAGTCTACATGTTTGGAAACCTGATCAGACTCCACTCTTTCCGTCTCCCGTGTATATTGATCTGCCCACGTTGCTTAACACTCGAGGAAGGGAATTCCCTCAGCATGGTGTGAGCCCTCCTCCAGTCTGAGTCAGAGTTTTCCACAGGTTTCCTCTCATCAGTCTTTTACAATCCAGACCAGGTGGCAGCCAGGCCGAGCTTCACTGCTCTGGCTGATGTGGCCCTTTTCAAGTTTAGACCACATGTGACACTGTCCT